TACGTGATTGCATTATGTTTATCACTGGCATGATGTTAAAAATCTGTGCACCAGTTCGTGATGAACAAATTCAATCGCTCCGAAATATGACTGAACTTTCAAAAATCTTCCAAAAAGTGTTGGAAATTCTGGACTTGATGAGGCTAGATCTTGCGAATTATCGTCTGAAAGCACTTAGACCTTATCTGAAAGAACATGCAGTTGATTATGAAAGACGTATATTTGAACAAGCTCTAAAATCAAATCGGTTTAGTCTTGAGCGAACAAAGGCTTGGCTACAACCAACCGTTGATTCACTTCTTTGCACAGTCGCTGAGCCTAACCCTAAAAATGATTTGTTGCCAAATCAACATGATCATGGTATTAAATTTGCTCAAGTTTATAATGAAGCTCTAGTCTCGTATATTTTCCAGCAAGTATTAATTGACAAAAACAATTGTCCTGAAACTTTCTTGTTGGATTTGGAAAGACTTTGGAATTTCCAGAATGAAGGACAAGCAATCACAATTGCAGCAGCATTGCTAATGTTAACCAAGAACATTGCTAATGGTTCCTCTGCCAACTCAATTAATGGGGAGAAACTCGAGACATTGAAGAATAATCTTTTTGTTTTGTTGATGGATCATAGCACGAAAATAGACAATTTGACAACTGAAATTTTATCACATTATCCACCGACTATTTCATTTGAAACCCAATCACTTATCAAATCCATGGTTTCTAAAACTCTTTCCCAGTCAGATAAAGTTTTCTCACTTCTTTCACGTAAAATCCAAACTAATATTAATTTAAAAGTTCCCGAAATAATAATTAAAAAATGGGAAAATCAATTTCAATTGGTATGTAATTTATATACAGCTTTAGATCTTACACACACACACATATTATCATTAACATTTGTATTATTAATATTATTTAGGAGAATATAAATATATACCAAGGTGGCAAGTTAGATTTGATTTCTTTGCTAAGATTATTTCAGTAGCAGGTGACATATTCTATCTATAATTTTCCTCACCACAAAAAAAATTTAAATTACCATGATAACTATCAGACTTCTTGATATAATCCAAACATATATTCCATAATGAACGAACTTCTTGCAAATATTCTTTTTTTATGGATTCAAGATCTTCAACTGAAACTATACCAAATACTTCAAATGAACTTGATCCTTTATATAATTCACTATATTTTTTCTCTAGTTCATTCTAAATTTATTTGAAATATTTGTTAATTGCAAACAATAATAATGGTGATATTTATGATAATTATAAATATTTACATTTTGATTTACTATATCCTTAAATTGCTGTGTAATATTATCAGCTAATGATTTCCATTGATCATGAATTGCCACTCTTTTTTGTGTATTGCTTAAAAATTTATCAGTTTGTATCTTAATATGCGACTATTTTCATTATTAAATATTTTTTCAAGATTAAAAATTTTTACTCTTATATTCCCCAAAATTAATTTATAGCATAAGACATAAATACCATTAATGTATTTTTCTGGAATTCTAGAGATTGTTCTTTAACTGACTCGAAATCAATCAAATGAGCTTGAATAAATTGAAAATATTTTATAAATATTTTTCTGCAAGTATTTTCTTAAATTCATTCAAATATTGAAAATATAATTTTTACCTTGAAATTCAGGAAATTCTTTTTTCAACTTTTCTTTTAAAACATAATTTGAAAACACCATCATCAATTTATAAAATCTATATTTGTTAATTAGATTAACAGTATAATATATAATGCTAAATACTACATAATAATCATATATGATTAACTAATTACCTATCATCATCACATTCATCAAACATAGATTTCCTTAACACAATATTATCACCACCAACAAAACATCTCTCTCTCCTTAATTGTTCCAACCATTTATAAGCCAAAGATCGAAACTCTCTACTATCTTCTAAACCTATTATCGGCCAGCATTTATAGAATTTCTAAAGTAAACAAATATTCAGGTAAATATTTATACATATATTTTTTAGCCAGTTAGTATAATCATTAAAGTCAATATGTAAACATGTAATTCTTACAGTTTCTGCTAATTCACTATCC